CAAATGTTTTACCTACCACCATAACAGTAAGGGAAGGAGATATTATCGGAGCTTGTGAACCAGTCAGTTGGGTAGCAAAATGTGATAAGACTAACGAGCAGAGATGGAGGGAACGAGATGACAGTGCATTGAAAGTTCTGGAAACCTCCTTGGACCACTTATCACCAACAGAATATAAAGCTGCCAAGAAATTCATAGCAGACGAAAGTGATATCTTTGAATCAACATCAACAGGGCGGACGAACTTGGTCAAGCACAGAATAGATACTGGTAAAGCTCACCCAATTCGGCAACCACCAAGAAGAATGCCATTTGCTAAGCAACAGGAGGTGGAACAGCTGGTTGACAAAATGATGAAGGATGGGGTAATTGAAGAATCATCCAGCCCTTGGTCTGCACCGGTTGTATTAGTGTCCAAGAAGGATGGATCCACAAGATTCTGTGTGGATTATAGGAAGCTCAATGACGTCACCAAGAAGGATAGCTACCCGTTACCAAGGATTGATGACACTTTGACTACATTGGCTGGCTCCCGATGGTTTTCGACACTGGACTTGAAGAGCGGATACTGGCAAGTGGGCATTCACGAAGAAGATAAGGAGAAGACTGCTTTTACGACTGGTAATGGACTGTACCAGTTTACTGTGATGCCTTTTGGACTATGTAATGCCCCAGCAACCTTCGAAAGGCTGATGGAATTGGTACTGCGTGGGCTCACTTGGAAAACTTGCCTGGTATATCTGGACGATGTTTTGGTCATGGGAAAGAATTTCGAGGAACACCTGAAGAACTTACGGGAAGTGTTCCAGCGATTCAGGAATGCCAACCTCAAACTGAACCTGAAGAAATGTTCACTATTCCAGAAACGAGTAGATTTCTTGGGCCACACGGTAACGTCAGAAGGAATACAAACTGACGAGACAAAGATTCAAGCCATTCGAGACTGGCCAAGACCGAAGGACAAACATGAAGTTAGAAGTTTCTTGGGATTGTGCACTTACTACCGTCGTTTTGTGGAAGGATTTGCTGATATTGCGGCACCACTCCATAGATTGACAGAAGATCGAGTCAACTTCAACTGGTCTGTAGAATGTGAGAAATCCTTCAAGAAATTGAAGGCTGGCCTCTGTTCGAGTCCTATTTTGGGGTTCCCACAAGAGAGAGGCTTGTTTATTTTGGACACAGACGCGAGTAACATCGGAATTGGAGCCGTGCTATCACAAGTACAGGATGGTCAAGAAAAGGTTATAGAATACTACAGCAAAGTGATGGCCAAACCAGAAAGGAATTATTGTGTCACCAGGAAAGAACTGCTGGCAATTGTTAAGGCTGTTGACCATTTCCACAAATACTTATACGGGAGAGAATTTCTCATTAGGACGGATCATGCAGCTTTGAGGTGGCTGATGGAGATGAAGAATCCTGAAGGTCAAATAGCAAGATGGCTGGAAAAGCTGAACCAGTATCACTTCAAGATTAAGCATCGCCCAGGAAAACTACACCAGAATGCAGATGCCATGTCCAGAAGACCTTGTTCGGAAACCTGTAAGCATTGTCTGCGCATTGAACATCGAGAAGGAACCGCTGATGTTAGAAAAACCAGACTTGTGACCGATGATAAGTGGACAGCAGCACACATGAGACGAGATCAGGAGAACGATCCGAATATCGCCGATTTTCTACGTTGGAAAGAAAGAGGAACAGAAAGACCGACATGGAAGGATATCTCGGATAGAGGGCCTGCTTTCAAGGCGATGTGGGCACAATGGGACTCACTAGTTGTGGAGAATGGATTATTGAAGCGAGTTTGGGAATCAGCTGATGGTAGATCAACAATTTCTCAGCTGGTTGTGCCCCACATCAGAGTTAATGAAGTTCTGGAAGAAGTCCATGGCGGAAAATCTGGTGGACATTTTGGAGTTAACAAGACATTGAGTAAAATTCGAGAAAGATTTTACTGGGTTCAATGTCGTGACGACGTGGAAAGTTGGTGTAGAAGATGTCCTGTATGCGAAGCCAGTAAAGGTCCCAGAACGAGATCAAGAGCTGGAATGAAGCAATACAATGTGGGTGCACCGTTTGAAAGGATCGCCATCGATGTAGCCGGACCATTCCCTTTGACTGATGATGGAAATAAATACATCTTGGTTGCTATGGACTACTTCAGTAAGTGGGTAGAAGCATACGGCATGCCAAACCAAGAAGCCTCCACAGTTGCCAGGATATTGGTCGACAACATGTTTTCACGGTTCGGGGTACCAATGGAGTTACATTCTGATCAAGGGAGAAATTTCGAGTCGAACTTATTCAAAAAGGTCTGTGATCTAATGGGAATCAGTAAGACCAGAACAACTCCACTACATCCACAATCCGATGGCATGGTCGAAAGATTCAACCGAACTATGGAAGAACATCTTTCCAAAGTAGTCGAAGAGCATCAGAGGGACTGGGACAGGCATCTTCCCTTATTCCTGATGGCGTATAGAGCAGCTGTCCATGATTCAACGAAGCTAACTCCAGCTAGTATAGTCTTTGGAAGAGAACTCCGCTTACCTTGTGACTTGGTGTTCGGTTCACCAAGTGTTGAAGAAAAGGAAGTACAAGACTACGCAGATGAGCTCCGAAATGGCTTGATGAAAACTCATGAGACTGCTCGGAAAAGATTGAAATTAGCAAGTGACAAAATGAAGGCACGGTATGATCTCAAAGCCAATTCAGAGGGATTCTTTGAAGGAGATCGAGTTTGGCTGTATAATCCTCGACGGAAGAAAGGCGTATCACCCAAATTAACACCATCTTGGGAAGGACCGTATAAGGTGTTGAAAAGGATCAATGATGTGGTCTATAGAATCCAACGCAGCCCTAGGACAAAGATGAAAGTCGTTCATCTTGAAAGACTGAAGCCTTATCATGGTGAGGAAAGTTCTGTTTTTGATCGGGACGATCAAATTTGAAGAAGGGGGTAAATGTTACGACCCTGGCGATCAATCCCAGCTACCTGCGGTGGGATGTAAACAAGTCATATTTCTTGGAATAAGTAATTAGGTGATTCGACGGCTATTGAGATGACTCGAGAAGATTATCGACCTGTTCACGATATTTCGAGTGGAATCTAGACGTTTTATTAGGTAATATAAATAGATGTTGTTAGGGACAGGAAGGGAAGTCTTTATTTGGAAGCGTTATAATAACGATCGAAGAAGTGTTGTGAATCGGAAGTGTTTAGTACGAGTATTGTAATTATTGTATAGTAGTGTTCAGAATAAATCGTTTTAAGTGTTATACCGAGTGTTAAGTTATTACGGACCCAGAGTAAAATCGTAACAATATATTATGACAACACATCGTATCGAAATTCGAAATATCAACAAGAATGTAGCCATCAATATAGCAAACTGTAAAATGTAAAATTCTTTTTCAAATTGAAAAAACCTTTGTTTCGAAATTATAAACAAATACAAGAATGTTCTTGCTTCAACATTAAGAATTTAGAAATGCATAATAGTTATTTTGTTTCAGTAAATATTGAATTTATGTGCCAATCTGAAATCGTTAATAGTCAAAAAAAGAAATTTTTTACATTCTATTCTCTGACAGAAAATGTCTAATTCGACAGCTATCGATTGATCAAGACAATTCTTAAGTTCGAAACATAAAAAAATTACATGATGCAGACTTCAACGAGGACACTGTATATTAAATTTCTTCTCGTACCACCCCGTATACCTACTATCAATATCGGAATTAGTCGTACTTGTTTAGGAATTAATCGGTTGAAGGGATGACGTAACTGAATAGTCATCACAATGATGAATCAAACCAATCGGCAGTCTCGTTCAAGATTTCATCACGTACGGTCGACTCAGTTGATATAAAAATATAACTCGAATTATTCAAAAGTGAAAAATGTTAATTAATCTTCGGTTTGGTGAATGTATTTCATTTGAGTGTGAGAGAGTGGATTTTTTTTGAAGATGGTGTGTTTTTGTATATGAATATATAAGTATAAGTAAGTTTCCATACGACTACGAAAACATTTTTCGCTTTCTATACCTAAATATACAGAGGAACTAGATAGATATTAATGCAACAAGTTGCTGAAATATTTGCCATTCCTAGTTTTCCTCCTAGCGTAGAAGCCGCTGGTGAAGCCTGTATACGATATATTATTTCACGACTTTCCTGCTAGCAATCGGTACTGAAATTCACTATAAATGATTTTCTGTAAATAACTTCAAGTGTAACTTTTTGTGGCGGGTTCGTATGTCTGCCAGACAAGCAAGCGAGTCACGGGAAGTAATTCAACTAAACATGAAACGTTTCTTCTAGAAACTTTCAAGATTGAAATAAAACATTCTGAATTATGATAAATATAGGTTAGTATTCTCATAATTGAGAACATCAACATATATTACGATTAGTTTGTTCTCAGTTTCGTTCAACACTAAAAAAAAATATAGAAGAAGTGAACAGGAAACACAAAATTATAATAAATATAAGTTAGTATTCTGATAATTGTGAACACCGCGCACTTCGTCAAGTTTATGGTGTCCATGATCAACTGGCCACCCAGGTCATGCGATTCACTCTGCTGGACTTTTTTCTCTGGGGTTTTCTAAAATCTTATGTGTATGTCGATTAACCACAGATTGGTAACACCCTGGTAGTCAATATCAGACGCGAAATTGCTGCGATTGAATCACATCTGTTTAATGAGGTCATCAAAAACTGGACTCGCAGAATTCGACTCATCAGGCAAAGCCGTGGCGGACACTTAAGTGACATAATTTTCAAAACAACATCACCAACTTTTTATTTTATTACATTTTAAAGGTCGAGCGTTCTTATTGTTCTCAGTTGTGTTTGACAACACAAATAATAGAATAAGTGAACAGAAAATACAAAATATCACATTTCTGGATGTTTCAAGAAGACAATTATTTTTACCATAAATCTTTAATTGATGATCAAATTGAAGAAATAAAATAATAGATACTCACCAGTAACTGTGACACTGCCTGTTGAAAATATTTTCAGGGTGGCTTTTGGACTTTTCAGCTTATATGTGACCCCTGGATGTAACTCTGGTTCATAGCTGAAAACATAATGCTAGTTAATTATTCAAAGCATTCATTTCCCTGTTAGATAGAAAACCTCATAATTCCATTTTGATTATCTTGAAATAATACTTATTTTATTATTTATAGGGACGAGGAGAAAATTCCAAAACAGATATTTGAATGCCAAGACCGCGAAAAAACTTTTTGGCGTGCCGAAAGAAAAGTTATCGCCGAGGACGTTTCCGGCCGAGGCAAGATAATCTAGAGGTCGCCAAAAAGTTTCGCGGCCCTGGTTTATACACTATTTTTCGTGCAATTATCAAAATTATTGAAATGCATGATTTTTAACGAATACAAAATATTTTGACAGTTCTTGACAAAACGAAAGTATGATCTGACACCAGTGGCGTGTCGTGAGTTTCATACCGGGAAAGCTGGGAGTAAAATATAACCAAAACTGGACCGCAGGCAAATTTTTTTTTAGTCACTGGAAGTTGATAATAAGAAATAGTTGGTGCAGCAAATTTTTTTGAAGGAGTAACAAAAATATGGCATAGTTATTTGTGCAACAAGTGAAAAAGTTGGCAGCTCAGACGTTGTCGAGAGCTACAATCATGAATCATGAGTGCAACCAATATGCTATTGCACTTGTTGCACACAACGGTTTTTCTACGATCGAATTGAATTTATTTTTATTTCAAATTTTATTAAGAGTAATTCACAATACAATAAATATCAGTAATTCTTATATTCAACTTGTAACCACGAGGAAATTGATGCATTTCTTCAACTTTCTTGCACACTGAAGAGTGCAAAATGTAGCAACTTCTCGCACGTTCGTAGAAAAATGGTATTTGCAAACGTTAACGAGCCATCGCGCCCACACGGTATACCTGCTCTTGTTGACTGAAGCTATCTGCCCACCGCTTCCATCACCGTTTGTATCATGCATTGACTTTAACGGGAATGTCAATCTAACACGGGTGAAAAATTAAAGATATACCCTATTGATCATCTGACAGTTATTATCGATGAATACTAAAGTATTCAAGATACTGGGTACATAATAATAGATCCAACGGAGCAACAAGATTAATACAATCAGAAATCCAGGGTACGCGTATGTCAACGCAAATTTCGACGGGTAAGTACGAGGGTAAGTATATCCAGCCTGTATGCTTTTGAATAACAGCTTCCATCGGTAGGTAGAGTATGATTAGTTCGCGCGGCTGGCGTCTCTTTTATTCTTTCATTCTAAAATGACAACTGAGTTGAACCATTTAGCACTGAATTAGGATGATACACATAATTACATAACCACTACATTATAAAAATGATCTAGATGATGATTCCGACTTTCGGGCAAGGAAAAGTCTGCTTCCCTAGCTTCCATGGACAACACGCTACTGTCTGACACTGAATAACCTTGCCATTGTTGTAGTTTAGGAATGTCAAATTCGGATGTGGGCTTTGGTTTGGCGGCTGTTGCTATTAGGTAACGGCTGCGAAGTTGTACTTCGCGTACTATATAGAGAACGTGAAGTACTCTCTTTGCGTACGATAGCACGACAAAATATGAGAAATGCAATATTTCACCTCCTCGATTCTCGATTGACCTATGTTTATATAACCTTTGAAATTTACATTTTGCCAAATTCAGGATCGACTTTGATGATCTTGCTTTTGAATTGGGATACGGAAAACATATTTTCATGTTCATTTCGTTTGCGTTTGTAGGAAAAATCTTGTGTGTATTTCCGTTTCATGTTGCGCGCTAACTCTCTTCATCGAGCGGTAATCTATCACTTCTAAATACACAAATAGCTAGTGTGTCTTTTGTCAAAAAGTGCGATTTTAAAGGTATGTCTCAACATTTTTCTCATCACTAAGACTCTCGGTATAGTTGCAGCTATATTGGTCACCGACCGGGTCTTGGTTATCCTACAATTTTGATGAGAACTTCGGGAAAAAAGTATGATTGTTTCATTGAGTTTATTGAGATCTGTTTGTTTTATTATCTGAAATGGAATGAATTGACTTGTCACTTTGAGATCGATTTTAAACCAAGAGCTCGCGTGAAGAATGGTTGAAGTGAATATTCAAAATTGTAATGCCTTTGATTGAAGTACCTCACAATTGAGTGTAACAACACCTGTCTGCCACCTACAAGTGGGGAAATATTTCAGGAGGAGGTGTTGAAAGGTCATTTTTTCCGGTCGATAAATTCAAAAATTTCTTCCACACTGAAGTTCAAGACATTTGTCTCCTTTGTGATTGTGAATTTTACTTTACTTTCAGATTTTGAGCAGCCGAGGGCGTTATCGATGCAGCCGAGGGTGTTATCGAAGCAACCGCAGTCGAAAGACAAAAATGAATATTCCAACTTGAACTTTGCATGGAATGATAGAGAATGGAAAAATCTACAACTTTTCTTGTAGAAAAAAAATCAGCAGACGACGGACGATACCTAAACGGTGTTATTACAGGCTGAAATTCGGTACATTCCTGTTGTTTTTGGTTGTGAAAATTAATGTGATTCTAGATTTAGCGCAGACGGAGGCGTTATCGAAGCAAACGCCGTCAAAAATGTCAAATCACAAAAATTAATATTCCAAGTGGCATTTTGCATCAAATATTAGAGAATTAAGATATCTACAACTTTTATTTCCAGACAAACTTAGCATTCAACGGCCCAGGGCCAGATTTTCTTGAAGAATATCACATATATGCGATTGGTTTTTGGAGTCAAGGCAAGATCTCTATAGCTCACGATTCACTTGCCACTATACAGGGTGTAACGCACATATCATAATATCAAGAAAGGTGTAGTTGTAGTCGTCTTTTTTTTTGATGACAATCAGAGTCTCCTATTGGTACTGGCCCATCAATGTTCACAGGAATTTTGCCGTTATGGCCAATTTTGGCCAGCATAAGGCCGACCAAAACTGTTTGCTGAGATACATAGAGTAATAAAATTTGTCCTAGATTATTTGATTCAAATTGAGTTGATCATATTTACTTCCTCTTGGAAAAATGCAAGAAAGTGAAAAGTTTCAATTTCAGACGGAGTTTCCTGTGTTGGACTGTCTTAGCCGAAATTTGGCGCTACGACCTTTTTTGGCTTGAAATTTATATCTCAGCACTGATGGAGTGAGCGAATCTCGAATTTGAACGAATATCTGCATTGAATTTCCTACAACTTCGGTCCAATGACATTTTCCAATCGGAGCAGTAACTTTTGAACTACAGCTGTAAGTTGAGAGTTGTCAACATTTTAGCGAAGTGTAAAAATTGCCTATTCTTGACGGGTGATTGCGGCTGAAAGGCTTAATCAATTTCAATAACTCAAAAGTCAGTCGACGCAGAATTTGATGTTACATAAAAAAGGAAGAAGTGATATTTTTTGTGAGATGCATACTATTTGAGTTATAGGCGAAAAACTGAAAAAAATGCGAAAATTTCGCGGTTCTCAGGCTCTCAAATATGGAGCAAAACCTAGAAACCGTTACCCGTTATTCAGACCCCCCAAAAGGGGTTTGAACAATTTCCAGCTATTGAGCAATTTAAAGGTTTTTTGCACCAACTATCCTGGGCTATTGGCAAGGTGACGATTCCGATACGGCACCTGGTGGGCAAATTTGAACCAGTTTAGGACGTAATTCAAGGTCATGTTTGTTATTGTGTTTAGTGGGTTTCATATTTTATGAATACCATTCAACAAAATTACGTTAATTTTCTCTTCTTGCTTCTCTTGAGTACAAGGCATGAACTTTATATCAATTGCCTAATCAATTCTATATTATTTTATAAATTTCGTATCAACAAATCTCTGATAATACGCAAAATCAACTGTTTAGTTGCTGGTTGAACTAGTAGAAGGTTCCAATGGAAAAATGTAGGACCTATAACGTCCTCCAATATGAATTTCCTGCACTCAAGAAGTCTTTTCTGATAAGGAAAAATCAGTTCAGTTGAATGGAAAAAATGGATAAACGTTGAGAATCCAAATGAGTTTTAAAAGTGGATGTATGCAGCTCCAACAAAAACTTCCTACCTTTCTTCACTTCATTGGTTCAATAATGATAATAATAAGGTAAATTTGTGATTCATTGATATATTTATTACTGATGAATAACTCTAATTTGCAGTGCCTGCCTATCTGAGAGAGAACATGATTGAAATTATCAACAGTTCATACCTATTTTGTTTATGGGGAAAGGAAAAATAAGTATGGCTGTTTTTCTTTCAAATATTTTCATAAGAAAAGTAAAGAAGCAAATTCAATGCCTTTGACTTTTGAACTGCAATACACAAAGCTGGGCAAGAAAATAGACATCATGAACATGTGCAGGTGGGTAATTTATGGTTTTATTTGTAATGCTTGACTCATATAAAAATCTTGTTCATGACATCCTGCCTAGGCCTCCATAGATTCTTATTTTGTAGTATCATCTTTGTAGTAAAATTGCCAATGCAGATTGCATGTACATCCAGAATGATTAAGTTAAAATACAGCTCCAATTACATTCATATGAGCAAAAACAGTAGCATATTTTATAGATATATAATAACCCTGGTACAAGCAGGTCATTGTAGGTATAGCTTACTTCATAGCTTGAATTGAATCTTTGAACATACATCGAAATGACACAATCTATTTCTATTTGAATATTTAGATTGTGTAATAGCTAATAGATATGGTTTGTTTATAGTAGGTACTAACATTCTTCAATTTTTCAGCAGGGGAGGAGTTGCCATCCAGGGTATCTTGCAATTGAGTGCAAATAGTTACACAAATTGAAACCAAAACCCAGATTCCTTGAAGTTGAATTGAAGTTTTTAAGGAGATATCACTGATTATTTGGGTACTTGAACATATCCATGACATTTCAAATTGTATCTTGGAATAATGTATTCATAATTTTACTGCTTGTATGTTATTATTAAACTGTATTTATTCATAAGTAAAAGTTCAACTTTTTTTTCTTTTTGTAATGTTTCATTGTAGGTCTTCAAAATTCATATTTCAATTCCACAACTACCTGAATCAACACCTCATTCTTTTTTGATGCAATTTCAAAGTTTCACTTTATAATCTTTACTGATTCCTTTCAAAATAGGTGCCTACCAGGTAGATACTTACTTTTGCTCATTGTTAATTTATTTCTACATATATGAAAGTCCTGGATTTTAAATTCATTTTTAATTGTAAATTTTTATGAAGGTATCTTGTAAAATAATTCAGGGAAAAACAGTATACATGAGCACTAAGGGAAGGAGTATACTGGAAGATCCTTCTATTTGTAGGTACTTCTTTCTTGACTTCTTTGGAGTGGCATAAGAACAGTAAAACACATGTTATGACAGTGTACTTTCATTTTCGAAAATTATTATTAATTCAGTTCCAAAATATACAAAACATAATGAACTATATACAGATAGATAAGATAGATATTTTCAATTAGATGAATTTAGGATTACAAAATGATATCAAATCACAAAATCTATGATAATATACTGTGTAAATACATTAACTGAAATCCTAGGTCATTTGATCAATGTTTTATGTGGTGGAATTCCAAATTATTCAATGATTTCATCAATATGGTAAAAAAAACTAGCTTTACAAGATATCAAATGAATTCCAAGAAGAAAACTCAGTCTAGGATGCCACCTACCTCAACTCTAAGTATATTAGGAATATTCACATTATGAAAAGTGTGTTATATGGATACAATTCACACACATGGCACATAGGATCATGACAATTTGCTGTTATTGCAGTGTAGCACCATAATATATGAGGTATGGGAGTTGCACTGTAAACAATCCTCAAAGCCTGGAAGTAATATTGTTGAAGATAGGCCATTGATAGTTGTATCAACCATTAAATCCACAGCTGTGTCCACAGTAATGTCAGGATGCCTTTGGTGTTGAATTATTTCTTGGTTTAGACTCATTAGAGCTGGTTGCTGCTGATTTCTATTATATATAATTGCACATGATTCTGATGGCTATAATATTTAGCACAAAATAGTCGAATAGGTTAACACATTGTTTAGGGATGATTTTCAATATGTTTCTCAGAAGGCTGTTCACTGTTGAAAAACTTCACTCCTGGTATCACCATTTGTGGTCTGTAGGATCCTTTTGCTTGAAGAGTGGAGTTATAGAGGTATGATGAAGCAGAAATGCACTGGTTTCAAGAAAGCTCAGACTATTTGGTCTACGATTCAATCAGTAGGTAACAGTTATTTTCCTCACATCACAATGAAACAGTATCATCCAACAAAAATTATTATGATTTCAGTAAAAAGTTCAACAAAAAACACGAATAACACGATGAAATATCAAGAAGAAAATGTATGCAAATCTCAAGAAATTTTGTAAACAAACTACACACTCTTTGCCGCCATCTTGTTTTGAAACAGCGCCCCCAACGGTCCATCACCTTGCCAATAATCATTATCATCACGAATTTAGTGACACTGGATTTGATATAGTTACTTATATCAAACGATTATGAAACGAAATATACGGAGGAATGGAAAAGTATGAAAACTATCACTATTAGATGATTCTCAAGAAATCTGACATCAAATAATTATAGATGAATTGGCAACATCGCACAAAATGTCTACGTAAGCGGTCTCAAACTGAAAATAACCTCACTTGTGGGGACGTCCCCACAAGTGATATTAACACACTTACACAACCAAATTATGTGGACATATAAAAAAAAAGTTTAATCAAAAAAAGTACATTGTGGGGACGTCCCCACTATTTTTTTCAAGAAATCAAGAGAAATTCGGCGTGTGTAGCAAAACTGAATGGACCAAAGAATTCCTCAGAATTTATACTTCAATGTGACATGCATACCTTGGACGTCCCCATAAAATGTCATCTATAAATGGCGTCCCCACAAACGGCTTGACGCCTGTATGTATGTATGTATGCATGCATGTAACCGACTCATTTGAACTCAATTTTGACCCACTTTAAACGGACCGATTGATTTGAAATTTGGCAGGTGTACATAGTTTGGGTTTTGAAATTCAAGATGGCGGATCCAATATGGCGGAAGTTTTGCAATTATGATCCGATTTTATTCAAAATTGGTATCTGGGGGTTTTCAAGGCCAAAGATTATGATTCTTCCGTCGAAATTGTGAAATTCAAGATGGCGGATCCAATATGGCGGACGACTTTTGTAATAATGATCCGAATCTATTCAAAATTTGTGTCTGGGCGTTTTCAGGATCAGAGATTATGATTCTTGCGTCAAAATGGGAAAATTCAAGATGGCGGATACAATATGGCGGACGAGTTTTGTAATTATATTCAAAGTTAGTATCTGCAGGTTAACAAGGTCGGAAATTATGATTCTTTTGTCAAAACTGGGTACTTACAAAAAATATAAGAACACTAAAAAACATGCTTTTTTAGTTAGTCATACTAAAAAATAAAAAATGAATAGTAATTTAAAAAACTAAAGAAACACCCTTTTATAGGTAGCCTAACTAAAAAGTAGAAAATAAAATAATTAAAGTGTGTTGATAAATACACAACATAGAATGTACTGATTAGGGAGATGTTAATATTTTTCACTTTTATTATTATATTTTCTGCTTCTTTTTAGTTAGGCTATCTATGAAATGGTATTTTTTTTTTTTTTTTTCTACCACTATTTATTAAGCATATGGTTTAGCAATTTATGCCACACTGGGGATGTCAAGGATTCACAGATACAAAGATATTCAATTCCAGAATCTGGGGTGAGCTTGTTGATAATGAAAGCATGGTAAAAATAGTCATTCAACAAGAGCCTCAGGCTACAACCAAACTCAAATTAAAGAATGTCACATCAAGCTTGTTCAAGTATCAAGAATGTCATATACAAGGTTTTACAACAATGTATTCATTGATGCATACTCCTCACCAGTGGCTACAAATGGCTACTGTGTGACTTCTATTCAAATATGGAACTGATAACAACTATTATAATGAAAAGAAAGAAATAAATCCTTTCAAGTTTATAGGAACCACTTAATAACTAAAATTATATTGAGTGAAATTACTTACTCTGCTTCTCTATGTCTTGCAGAAAAGGAACTGATTCTTATTGAGAAGGGCATGGAGCATGTTCCAAGTACATTAACCACTCTATAATTGTTGAATCTAGTGTTGAATCCCAACTTCTGTAAGCAGCGTGCAAACCTTCTTGCTGCTTGCTTAGCTGCATCTTCACTAGTAGCACCTGTACAGGTGATTTTTCCTGATGACCAAATACTTGCTGTTGTATAAGGTCTTCTTAGTTTCATTGTGACCATGCCATTTTCTTTACGATATTCAACATTTGTACCAGATAGTGCAATTTCACGTAAATTTAAATGACACCTTACACTAAAACTGCAAACTACATTGTTGATGACAATGTCTATTTCTGGTTCTTCAATATTCTGCTCAATTTCAGTCTGTTCACTATCAGGTTCACAAGAAACATTTTGCTCATTGTTTTGTTGAGAATCACACTCTTCATTGTCATTCAACACTTCTACATGTTCATAACCAGTGATATTCTGCATCTGATGATGTACCAAACTATTTCCATTAGATAGTGGCTTAATACCATTTTTCTGAACAACAGTAGCCATAGTATGTGTCAATGATGTTCCTACGAAACCAATGTTCAATTCAACAGATAACTTGCATAGATATTGAACGTAAAATTATCAAAGAAACTATCTGAATGGGTTTCGGGAAACTGTTCTAATATTAAGGACATTTAAATTGGCTCTGCCTATCTCAAGTTAACGTTCAAACAGAAATACTGTAATACCTACCAGCGTATTGTTTCTTTTATAGTAGAAACTATATCCAAATAGTACATTAACAGTCAGAACTGTTAGTGCAAAGTTTTTATCCGAGATAGACTTATGATTAAACGAATTTATCCTTTGTAAGAAGAATAATTATTGTAAGGAGCCATGACACATTGCACATTGACAGTATGAAGATGAAGTTAGACACTGTGCACTGTGGTATGGTATGACAGTGTGGCCAACAGCCACCCAACAGCATGAGCTAGAATGCTAGAAATCTGGAATGGGTTGCGTGATGGTTGCGTGCAAGAACTGTCAGATGAACGACCCTGGAGCATATACCCTGGAGGTGAAACATTGAAACACAACCTCACTTTTCTTTTTCGGCTATTCATAAATTCGCGCATGCCGCATGCCATCATTGTACTGTTGTACAATGCACAAAAAATTCAGCGGAAAACGAAGGAATTCAGTTGATACATTATGATTCAAAAGTAAGTAGCTACCTACTATAGTCACATAGAAATGACAAAATTTTATAATGAAAACTATGTGAGATTATTATTTACCTGAAAAATCATATTCCTTCGTATCTCGCTGCATTTTTTGTGTATTGTACAACAGCACAATGAGACGGCATGCTTGAATCAATGAATAGCACAAAAAACACGATTCGTATGCCAAAATATTGTAAAAAACTATTACAATCCTTTGATTCCTCTGTAAACAAATAAAAAAAGTGAGGTTGTGTTTCAATGTTTTACAGAAGAGTGAGGTTGTGTTTCAATATTTTACCTCCAGGGCCGGTCATCGTTCACGCGACCTATTCTGAGAAGGGCCGACTGTTCCCAGATATAAAGTAACGAATATGAATATGAATGTAATCGTGGTGAAATTATTAGATGACTGTTGAAAAATGACTAAAAATTATAGCTAAAAATAAATCGCGTCGCAGGCGAAACATTTTTGTCAAATCTAGCCATTGTTCGCAATTTTTCTAGCAAAAACAAAAATCTGACCATGAACTACGAATGTTAAAAATCAATTTTTATTCATTATGTTTGATAAACAATATGCCATAAACATATTACGTTTTCCGTGAATCTTTCAATTCCCAATCTGGTGCATCATGAGAAATTAACGGCAAAAAAATATCCAAGTATTCTTCATCACTCTAGCTTGAATCGTCATCTTCAACAATCGTAGAAACTATGGAGGCTTCCATGTTATTTAGGTCATCAGGAGCATTAGCCAAATCAATGACAGCTAGAATATCTAGTTCAGATAAACGGGAAACTACAGAAGTAACTACCTGACAACTGACAAATTTCACCAGGGTGAACTGCTGCTGATTCCCATGAAAACGTGTTCCAAATTAGAGCACTGTATTTTTGATTTCACATTTCGGAACACAGATTTTCAGCAGAGTCAGTGGATCAACTGACAGTTGAACTCGAAATATAGCCAAGATGTGTGATTAGGGCAATGTTTGGGCCACAGTATTCTTTTCATTATAATCGAGATTTTTGAATTATATGTGGCAACAGCGCATTGTTCGGGTATCGAAAAAAGATGGATAGATCGGAAACTGTGGGCCAAACGAAATGTGGCCTCGTGGCCCTTGTGTGGCTGCAAAGAGATGTGGCTGCAACGAAATGTGGCTCCAACCCAACAACTAGAGTTCCTAAATGTACTTGACACTGCTGTTTTGACGTTTTTTGTTGATATACAAATACAGGTACATTTAGGTACTAGCTCCAACGAGATGTGAGTGTAAAAGGTGAGTTCCCAATGCATCGTTTTTGCTTTTCGCGTCACGCGTCACGCACTCTGATTGGTGACGCGTAATTCGGAATTGCTGTACCGCTTTTTTGATTATTGTTTAGTTCCCAATGAATGATGTTTAGCTATGTCGTTATTGTCAGGAAAATGTCAAAGTAGATGGAAATAATCTAATAAAATGGAAGCAAGAAACAAAAATAGATTGAGAAAATTTCTGTTATTAGCTTATCTACTGAGAAAACGAAGAAGACAGGCAAAAATAAGATCATGCTGGGTCAGACCTACCATTACAGTTGATGATTTCAGTGCACATAATGCACATTCCACAGTGATACTGTAATTATTTAACAATCATTAGACCATTCTCAACAATAAGAATGAATAAACTTACACTTAGAACGTCCTCATTATCCATAGTTCATACCTGTATTTACTTTAATAAAATTTGAAACTATTGAAAGTTTTCCAAGACATAACCCCAATTCAACCGCAAACAACAGCCCAAAATCAAATATAAATGACATATCACCCAGCAGCAACGCCAGAAAGTTAAAATATTTTTTCTACTCCTTACTCGGTAAGTACTTCATTTTGATACTGATTTGAGGGAGGAAAACACGTTCTACCTCCCTAGGGAGGTAAGTAAATATTTACCTTCCTAGGGAAGCAAGTTAAATAAACTTCATAATTTAACCTACAAAGTACGCCAGCAAAGAGTTCTCGGTAATGCTTTCACCACTTGCAATATTACTGCACCAAGCCTTGAAGTCTCGGACTATTTTGCAAGCCCTCGCGTGACGCGTGACGCGAAAAGCAAAAACGATGCATTGGGAACTCACCTTAACAGCAAAGATTGGTAACAGTGCAACGAGCATTCCGTCGATTGGCAGCACTGCCTCACACACCTGTCCTGTCACCTGTCAGTTTCAGTTTTTATTATTTATGAAATCTTATTTGAAAATTGAAATGATTATTTTGTTTTTAGAAATGAAATTTCAATAGTTTGATCTATTAATAAATAATATCATTGACAAATTGTTATTACTGGTTCTCATTTCAGGTTAGAAATAAATAAATATTTATAACTATGACAAGATACAGCACTGCATTATCCTACATAGTTCTGGCTGTGACTGGAATTTATTGTTATTTATGGACCACTGAATTGAGTTTCTCCCAATACTCTTTCGGATCTATCATTGCAAATTCTATAATTGGTGTATGGAGATGGGGTGAGCATTAATATTTATTGATTGTTGAATGGAATGGAGGTTAAACATTACTCCATTAGCAACTCCACTCTTCATTGTTCAAATATTGTTCACATAATCATTAATGAAAACTGAATGAACAAGAATCACTCAATTTGAAAAGAATCTGGATGCTCATCTGGTAGGGCAAACAGTTTGGTAGTTGTATGCTTGATCTATGCAGCAGAGGATGCTGCAGCTTAATTGAGTTAATATGTTATGATCTTGATTTGAGCTATGAGTCTTTAGTAAGTTTTGGAAATATGCTCGGAAATATGGCATATATACAACATAAAGCCTCTTACAAAGCATTACACCTATTTAGAAGATATTTAATAGACTGAAAACATCAATCCAATGTGATGTTTCACAAGAAACAGGGATGGGACCTGATTTGTTTGCCATCTATATAAATTATATACAGTGTGTGTACAATATGTGGCCAAATCTGAAATATTCAGATTCTCAAGGCCTACTACCTGTTGGTTGTTTGAAAAAGACAATTTTCTTCCAAAACTTGACTCATGGCTCAAGATTTAAATGTACTACATATATCCACTACAAGATACACCATAACCTGTGAACCTGAACAAAATAATTTATGATACTTATAAATAATATTATATTTTTAATGGATGATAATGAATTAAGTATATATTTAGTGAATTTGGACTTGGACTCCAGCTCTGGCTGTTATCTGTACTCTGTAGTCCTCTGTTTGAAAAATCAACTGAACAGCATTGCCAGCCCAGCAACTCAAAATTACTGAAAGATCACCAAAAAAATAGTACTAGTTTTTCCATAAAAGTACTAGTATGGATTTTCATTCAAACTTCCAACTATTGAGTAAGGATGCTAAGGAAAGGGGTGGAGGGGGGAAATAGGCAAGAAAAAAATATAATGAAAACTTATTTACTGAATATTGTGAAATATCTGAAATATGACATTTCTCCTTGTCAATCTTCATTCTGTCATTCTTTTTTATTCATAATCCAATTATATTATCAATCATTTGCAAGTCCTATCATGAAAACTTCTTTTTTCCACCACCTGAGAAATCACCATTATTCCAGGATTTCCTCTAATGAGAAGTTACACTTTTTGAACCTAGGTATGAAATGAAAAAGTTAGTCACTTCCGGAAGTGATTTTTCATTTTTGTTTTTCTCAGTTGAAACTTCCTTGAATGAATTGGAGATCATGACATTTTCGAATTTTCATTTTTCGAAATGGCTGAGATAATTCATTGGAACAGGTATACTGGGACACCCGGTATACCTTAAGTCAGAATGCGCCTTTAGAATAGCCCACTTCACACCCTAGGTGTATAATATACCGGGTGGCTACGGAAGTATTGCCTACGGAATATCTCAGTTATTGTATGAAGTAGGTTTGTAAAATTTGGAGCGTCGATATACTGACATAAGAGCTAGAATTTGAGCATATTGACATGTCGAAGTTAACTTCCGGTCTGACCGGAAGTAACATCAACTTTCTTATTTTAAATGGAAACCCTATTCTTTTTTCTTTTCGCTTCATTCAGCATTCAATTCCCTTTCTAATGACATATCACAAGTTGATTTACGTTAAAGTCTCAAGGAGAATGGATGCATACGGGTTGCTCCTAGTTTCTGAATCATAAGTGATACTTTCTGAATTACAAGTTATGCTTTCTGAATTACAATTGACGGTTTCTGAATTACATTTCACTATTCTGAATTACCAGTTACACTTTCTGAATTACATTTCACTAATCTGAATTACATATTACGCTTTCTGAATTACAATTAACTAATCTGAATTTCAAGTTATACTTTCTGAATTACAATTAACTATTCTGAATTACAACTTATACTTTCTGAATTACATCTTATACTTTCTGAATTACAATTGAAAAAGGTGTAGTTGTTGGTCCTTTGGGACTCCTGTCCATTCAATCGTCTTTTCAGCGGCGCTATTCTTTGTACCTAAGAATCTCTTTCAGAATGAGATCAGTTATTCGTATTTGTATCAAAAATTATGTAGTGTTTGTCGGCAAGATGTAAGCAAACCAACTAAATTTACGTCCTTCTACTTACTATTTCTTGAACCCATTGTTTCCAATGAATCCCTGTTTGCCCTGTTATTAACTATACTATTTGTATGTCCACTTTG